TGAGGGGGGGCAGGGGGGGTGAGGGAATATAAAGTAAGAGAAAGAGAAAAATATTTTTGTCATTTATGTTTTTCGTTTTGTCTGTCGTCCAATCAGGACGTCCATCATCGTTCATCGACGACTGAGAGAACGACGAGGAAACAGAAGAAAGTTTCAGTGGTTTTTATTTTTTTTAATAATCAAATCGTTAAAATGCACGACAGAAGAGAAGACGTGTCCACATCACATCGGAGGTTTCATTACAGAGGAACGGTTTCCACGGTAACCAACAGTCAACAGTCAAGGACTCATCGTACAAACGTGACTTTGTGATGTTTGTATAAAAAAGTTCTGCCGTCGGTCATCAGCCCTGGACATCCGGGTCGGATGTCGCAGCTCCTGATGAACGTCCGCTGCTTCAGGGTGTGGTTCAAAGATGGCCGCCGCCGCACAAGCTAAGTGTTCATGGCTAACAAACAGTAGCATTCTGATACAGTGTGGGCTACAATCTACAACAAACCGGATCTGAAGTTTGGCCTCGTGGCAAAACCGATGTGGCCCACGAATTATCATGCCTAATATTTTTCGTGGCCTACAACTTGTGGCTCTCAAACAGTTGAATGCTGGGTCACAAACGTGGGTCACAACAGACACCCTAATGGGCGGGAGGAATGTAGGCAACAGCCCACATCTGATACAGTATGTGAGCTGTGGCCCAAACGACACAAGCTAAATCATTTGGCCCACATTTAAATGTGGGCGAGGCCTAAACCAAAACCCTGGATTGGACCAGCGTCCACTTCTCCAGATCGTTAGTGACTTTATTTCATGGAAACAGAACCGAACTCAGTGACTTTGTAGAACAGCAGCGTTTCTGTCACGATGCGTTCAGGTGCGGTCTGTTCTTCTTCTGTCTCGTCCACAGTCTCGGCCTTTTTGTCCAAAGTTTGATATTTGTCCACACAGACAGACAGACAGACTGACAGACAGACATTTAGAGGGGAGTGCTCCGTCCAATCAGGAGTGTCGGGCAGGGTCACATGCCCGTGGACCCCAGCCCCAGGCCGGCCGTCTTGCTCATGCAGGGTAAACCCTGGGCTCCAGATTTAGGGAAGTCATGTGACATCACACGTCCGTTTTCTCCTCCCAGTCCCGACGCCCCTCCTCCTCCAAACCCCCCCGGAGCTGCCGGGCCACTGACTCCTCTCCTGACTCCTCCTCCACCCTCTCCCGCCGCCGTCCCACCAAAACTGGTGCTCCTCATGGCAGCGTCGATGAGCTCCTGCAGGAGGACATCAGAAATGGCTGGAGTTTAGATTTTACCTGAAGGTTACAGCGAGGTCTGGCACTACGGCACCACCTGGTGGTTTAAACCGGAAAATCACAGGTGAATCTGGAAAACAAACACAGAGAGAACGCAGAACCGCCGCCGCCGTTGTCTCCGGGGCGGGCGCGAG